GCGCCCGGCCCGCCGGGGGGGGGGGCCCGGCCCCCCGGGGCCGGCGGTGGCCTCCCGCCCCAGGCAGGTCCTTCTGCTGCGCCCCGCTCCCGCCAAGGCAGACCGCCCCTCGCCCCTGCCGGAGGTCCGGGCGCTCGGTGGCCTGGCGGGGCTCGCCCTCCACTCGGGCCACACAAAAAAAGTAAGCAGCCTGCCTCTTCAGCTGACTCGCCGCGAACACTTCCAAGCCCCATCTTCACGGAGAACACAGCTGCAAAGTCGTTGTATTGCCGTAAAGGTGGAAGGCCATCTCCCAAAGGCGGCAGCAGCCTTAGCAACAGCTGCTTGAGAGTAAGCGGGGTTCCACATCGTACCTCTGCAGAGTTGAGGCAGTGACACTGGTCACTGATGGCATTGCTCTTACCAGGCTCATCCTTTGCCTTCTTATCACCTCTGCACAACCAGCATCCACATGCTGTAGACCCATGCCTGTTGAAATGAACAGGCAAGCGGATTATGCTGGAGACTCTCGTGCTGTGAATAATACATAATAAAGAAGTAATAATTTCTCGTCTAAGTGAAAATTGGATGCCACTCTACCTTAGTAGAATTTAATAACACCTCCCAAACTTACTCTTTCATGGAAAAAAAATGTAAGAGTCTGAAACTTCAGAAAGCTTTCTACAATAAAATGATGAACACACGGCCATCGGCTCAAAGGCTTGACTTCAAATGAGTGAGATCAAAATTAAGACTTCATTAGAAAGCAGGTCTTAGTCAGGACCCATGGAAAGGATCCAAGCAAAGCAGTTAAAATAACAACAGTGTGATGTAAAAAAGATAGAAATAGAAAACTTCTATAATTTATTCCTCTATCTGAAGACCAATTACAGTTAATTTGCAGAATTATGTAAATTAGCTTCTTGTCTGTAATGATGCACGTCCTTTTAAAAATCACGGGTAACCAAATCCCAAAGGTAGCGGCTGTTGCAGTACACCAGATCACAAACCCAGCCCAAACACCCGAGCCCTTTACGGTTCTATTATCTAGCAAATGGCAGCTGAGTATTCCCTTTTACTTCAGATGAGCTACAGTAAGTACCAGAACTCTGAGGATGTGCCAGTCAATCGCACATGTGCACCAGAAAGGGAATGGCATTAGAGGACAGACACGCAGTTCTTCTGTTTTATCACCCCCGTGTATCTGGAGCGGGTTTGAACCAGAGGCATTTTTTTCATCCAGATGCCCATGAATGTTCCTCCATCTGGCTCATTAAGAAAATAAGAATGTGCAAGAATTGCCGTTTTATCATTAAAAATGGTTAATATCCAATATCTCAAAACACACAAGATTTCTGCAGTAGGCGTATATGTGAAAACCTGACTCATGAATGTCTTATCTTAATTCCTACTTGATATTGGTTTATTTCATAACGCATTAGTCTTTATTCTTTCCTATACAATTTATAGTAAATGCCTTTAACCAAAAGATGCATGTTTTAGAACAAAGTTACTAAATTGCTCCCTCTTAGTCAATAATGAAATTAATATCCTTTAGTAAGAGGCACACAGTCCAAAATTTTCACTTAACAGACAAGCAAATGAAAAATTGTTTATCTCGCAGTTCAATTCCTAGTTCTTCTCTGGCAGAAACTTACACGTCTTCCTTACATCACTTGTTAGCATGTCTCCTCTTACTCAGTCCATCCTAAGGGAAATAAACATAGTACACACTTTTCAAGAAGAGACCGGTTAGAAACTACATGTCCATGGTAACTTTTCCTTTCAAAGCCTATCAACCACAGCTCACAACACTGTTGAGCCTGCCAGCCCAGTATTCAGTATTTAGCTTTACCTGAAGTGCAGACTGCCTCAAGCTCCATCAGTAGTTTTACAACAAAACTGAATATTATAAGAATCACCATGTTCCAGTATTTAAAGGGTGGCTACAAAGAAGATGGAGACTCCCTGTTTACAAGGGGTCACATGGAAAAGATGAGGGGTAATGGGTACAAGTTACTCCTGGGGAGGTTCCGACCGGACACGAGGAAAATTTTTCACAATGAGAACAATCAGTCATTGGAATAATCTCCCCCGGGAAGCAGTGGATTCCCCAACATTGGACACTTAAGATTCAGCTGGACAGGGGGTGCTGGGCCGTCTTGTCTAGACCGTGCTTTTGCCAAGAAAGGTTGGCCCAGATGATCCTTGAGGTCCCTTCCAACCTGGTATTCTATGATTCTATGAAGTGTCCTCAGAAGTCTGTGGGCAGCATTTTGTGTCAGGTAATACTATGTCTCAGGCAAAAGCTCAGCAAACTTAGTATTCCTTTTTCATCTGTGAGGACTAAGCATTATTTCCATGCCTAACCTAGAAACTGGAACGGAAGAAACAAAACGTGTTGGTGATGAAGCTAGCCTAAAAATTTTTAGTAACTTAGTTCATGAGTTTTTCTGATACTCTCCTTGACTCAGACAGCTGGATGAAGTGGAACACGACTATTTGTGTAGATTCGCATGCATACACAGCAGTCACTTCAGTCTTACAAAGTCATTTTTATTTAGCAATTGCATCTTCAACAGTTACTCCATTATTAAGATTTTTCTTAAATAAAAATTCTGCTTTCCATAAAAAAAGCTATCATTAACAAAAGTCACTTTCTCTTTTTTTTCACCTCATTTTCTGAAATGACGTAGAAGGAATGGCACGCTTAGAAGAGCCAGATTCTTCCTCATTTTCATAGAGACGCTTTCTTGTTGTGGTTGGCTAAAAGAAAGATACAGGAGGATGGCTACAGGAAATCAGGTAAGACAGAGGCTAACTGGTTTCCTTGCTACAGAATTACAGATGTTAGATAAAATCTCCTTTCTGTGACCAAAAAAGCAGCATGACTAACAAATGTTCCTCTACCAAGATCTATCTAATTATATTTGATCCTTTTCATGTAAGACACTGCCCCCAGCTTTATCTTCCACTACTGTTTAAAATTGTCCTCATTAGCATCTGGTAATGCATGTCACAATACCATTCTGAACTTTCACTACCGTGAGAATTTTTCCTTGAATACTAAACATTCATGACTTGAATCCATGAAAACATACATGTTCAACAATTTAATTTCAAATATATGAATAATCCTTTAAAGCCTAGGAGACACTTTCTATATATTTAAACAAAGTGTCTTGCCAAAGCACAAAAGTTCATTGCTTCTATTCAGAAAGCAGAGATAATTAGCAGGCTGCTACATACAGTCAAAATGCACATTTCTCCAAGTTCTCAAAATTAATTTATTTTCTTATGGATTGCTTCAAAATCTAATTTGTCTATGCATCAAGTATTAATCTTCAAATAATCTATTACACATACCATTTTTGATGTTTGCGGTGGATTCATACTGGCGCGTGTCTGAGCAAGTAGCTGTTGAAATGTACTCTTCATATCCTCATCCTGTGAAAAAAAAAAAAAGCAGTAACTAAGTAGTATATGGAATATTTAAGGGAAAAGCCTACATTTTGGCTAATGAAATGGATCAGCAATAAAGGAGAAAAGGCGTTTCCCTCACCTCCCCCCAAATAAACACCTTCATAATATGGCTTCACCAAGGGCAAGTCTTGCCTAATCAACCTAGTGGCCTTCTATGATGGAGTGACTACATCAGCAGACAAGGGAAGAGCTATGGATGTCATCTATCTGGACTTCTGTAAGGCCTTTGACATGGTCCCCTACAACATCCTTCTCTCTAAATTGGGGAGATATGGATTTGATGAGTGGACTATTCAGTGGATAAGGAATTGGCTGGATGGTCGCATCCAGAGAGTAGTGGTCAATGGCTCAATGTCCGGATGGAGATCAGTGACAAGTGGTGTCCCTCAGGGGTCCAAATTGGGACCAGTACTGTTTACTTTCTTCATCAACAACATAGGCAGTGGGATCGAGTGCACCCTCAGCAAGTTTGCAGATGACACCAGGCTGACACGCCTGAGGGACAGGATGCCATCCAGAGGGACTTGGACAAGTTCGAGAAGTGGGCTCATGTGAACCTCATGAGGTTCAACAAGGCCAAGTGCAAGGTACTGCACCTGATACCAGGGGTTGCCTCGACCCAGTACAGGCTGGGGGATGAAGGGATTGACAGCAGCCCTGCAGAGGACTTGGGGATACTGGTGGATGAAAAATTGGACATAAGCCAGCAATGTGCACTCACAGCCCAGAAAGCCAACTGTATCCTGGCCTGCATCAAAAGAAGCATGGCCAGCAGGTCGAGGGAAGTGTGGAACACCTCTGCTATGAGGAAAGGCTGAGAGAGTTGGGGTTGTCCAGCCTGGAGAAGAGAAGGCTCTGGGGAGACCTTATTGCGCCCTTTCAATACTTAAAGGGGGCTTATAAGAAAGATGGGGACAGACTTTTCAATAGAGCCTGCTGCAATAGGACAAGGGTAATAGTTTTAAACTAAAAGAGGGTAGATTGAGACTAGATACAAGGAAGAAATTTTTCACCACGAGGGTGGTGAAGCACTGGAACAGGTTGCCCAGAGAAGCTGTGTATGCCCCATCCCTGGAAGTGTTCAAGGTCAGGCTGGACAGGGCTCTGAGCAACCTCATCTAGTGGAAGATGTCCCTGCTCATTGCAGGGGGAGTTGGACTAGATGACCTTTAAAGGTCCCTTCCAACCCAAACCATTCTATGATTCTATGATTCTGACATGCCCCACAGTAGAATTTTGAGCAGGGTGGTTTATGTACAGTGCTGGTAAGAAAAAATAGTTCTATTTCATTCTACAAAGAAACAGTTTCCCCTCAGCTAACATTAGGCAAGCTAAAACTGAACTTGCAGTATCACTCAACACAGTATAACAACATTGAAAGAACAGAACATACAGGCTAGGAGTTTGTGCAGGTAATTCATCATCAGGACGTGGGGCCTGCTTTCACCAAAACAGTTAATCACTCTTGAAAAACAAGTATTTTCCTTATAGTCTTACATTCTGTTCTCATAATGACTTCCCTTTCTAACAGCACATTTTCATTTCCACCAGCTCAGCTTCATCAGTATCCCAAATTTGGATAGTTTTCATTACTGCCTCCCTGCTCCCAAAAGCAAAGCTGTTGTACACAGTAGGTAGAAAAGAACCAGCTAAAACACCCATACCCTAAAAAAAAAAAAACCAAAAAACCCAAACAAAAAACCCACACAAAAACCCACAAAAACCACACACACAAGGAAAAAAAAACAAAAAACAAAAAACAAAAAAACAAACACACACACACCAAACTTTCAAACAAAACATTATCTTAAAAAGCATCCCACAGTTACCCTTAACATAAGTAAGTCCATAGAACATAATAAAGGTTGGAAACATTTGGAAAGCAAATATTCAGAACTTGGGCAAGCATTTCACTGAAGTTTCCCTTTTGAAAATCCAAATGATTATTAAGTATTATATTATTCATAGAGCATTCATATCTCTACAGAAGTTCACTGGATAGTACAGTTCATTCTCTATTTACCCAAAGTGGTAAGCCAGAAGCTGCCATTAGTGGAAAGAAAGTGTCTGGGAGAGGTGCACTGCAAAAGAAGTGGACTTCTTAGTCTGAATTGTGCATAAACAGGCCTGGCTGCAGAAGCATTAAGAAGAGGGAAGGGCACCAGAGATCCTTTGCTAAGAGAAGCTAGTTTAGCAGAAAGCGAGGCATGTTTCAAGAGAAAAAGCTAGCATGTAACCTCATTCTGGTTCAGCTGCCAGTGACCAGGGCACTCTTGGTATATGCTGGGCAACCTCAGCGAACAGGAAATCAGTGCAAACAAGAATTTTAGTTGACATAGTATCCTCTGTTTTAAAAAGAAATTCTCATTCTGTAGTTTCAGCAATTACTCCCACAGGAATTTTATTAGAATGGGTTGCTATGGATTACCTGCAAAGCCTAAATCAGACTTCCAAACCTGAAATCAGGTGTTTAAACCTTTCCCAGGACTAAATGAAGTATGCTGCTCATAGTGATTTAATACAAATAATTTCCTTTGGCTGAGTTTTGAACAATGACTGTGTGTTCACCAACTGAACAACTGATCTAGAACCAAACCCAGACATTTATTCTAAACAACTGACTGAAGCTAACAAGTTGTATAATTTTGTTCCATTATCACAGCAAAGATTGGGAAACTCAAAGAGAAGTGAATGGGACATTCACTGCTAGAGACAAATAGAAATAAGGATCATTCAACTCCTAAGGATTTCAAATATTTTAACTGGGTTTTTTGGGTGAAGGCAGGGGAGGGGGTTCTTTTTCTAAGCTACGAGTAATGCAGTATCTCCTTTTTTGGTTTAAAAATGTACTTAAAGGCTACAAAAAGGCTTCGATGTGAGCATCCAGTTTATTTTACATAGAACTGGGACTTCTCTTTCTTTTCCAGTGTCACCTGTTTTGACTGTGGCTACCTTTGAGGTGATGGGTAAGATATGATAAATGTTTTTCCATTCATATAACAAACACCTGAGTTTTTCTTCAGCATGCAACCAAACTAATCTTGTCCCATTCAGAAGATCCCAGTGAAGTTTTCAGAGGCAATTAATTGTTTATATGCCTTTGAAAAATGTTTTATTAAGTACTTGGTAAATACAGGCAAGACATCTCCACTGATTAGTACTTAGGTTTAAGCAGCCCATTAAGTTTTAAAGTTTTACATTTAAGCAAAGAATGGAGTAAACAGCACAGGTATTTAAAACATAAATTTGAAAGCACTACTGGTTTAAATAAAGCTGTAGAAATTAAGTTTTGTTTGGAGAACATGCTTACTTTTAATATCTGAAAAATCCCCTAGTGGACCCAAAATCATTAGAGGGCTAACAGGCATTAGCTGTACGCATAAAGTATGCGTCTGTTGTGCTTTTTCCATGCTAACTTTTAAAGACAATACTTACAGACAACACAAGAGGGAGTGGGGAGCCAGTAACTGCTTCTCACTACTCACAGTAACAGGACTCAAGGAGCTCTTTTGGTGGTAGTATTCAACGTGTGTGATATCTAGAACTGAACATATTGGATGTTGGCCTTCCAAGCAGGCAGTGTACATCACGTATAAACAACTGATACTCTTAGTAACAGCCCATGAAGGGAAACAGTTTAAAGAATGGCATCTGAATGCTAGATGACATTTGGATTTGTGGGTATGATGTTTTCTGAAACTTTTTCTCCTGTCTTCAAAATTAAACATAACAGTAAGAGGTGTCCCTAAAGGGAATATGTAATCAAGATGCTAACAGCTTGAGTTTGCATACTGAAATATCTCAAATCCTTAGCTTGTCTAAGTCACTGTCATATATTTCCCCTTTCCCATTACACATACCAGCGATCCTTAAAACCAGTGTAGCATGGTTTATCAATAACATTTTCTGCTCAGAATTATAATCTAAATGTAAGAATCTACATCCAATTAACTCACTGTAGAAGTTACACACAGGTCTACAGTAGTAAAAGCCAGGCATGTTTTGGAATGCCAGGAAGAACTTTCTGATGCCCAGCAGTATAATTAGGACAAGTTAATGACTTAAACACAGTCATCCAAATGCATTTTCTGTCTCTGGAAGCTGCCAGCTGTTGAGCACTAAGTGATACTCCCTTGCTTCCACACCCTGTTTCTTATGGTCTTCACCTAAGCATTTGAAACCAGAAACTGTTCCCAGTGGGGGAATATGAATAGCATTATGCTCAGCATGAGTAAATACAACCTGTTGTGTGGCTCAAAGGTAGGCTGGGTGACTTTCTTCAGCCTCCTCAAGCAAAAACATCCAGGAAAGCTCATAGGCCCAGGGGTCAACTCTGGAGTGCCAAAATTAATAAAAGACCACCTAAAGACTACCTCTCACAAACCTAACTAGACTGTAACAGGAGGCAGGGAAACCATCACCTCTTACTCAGAGGGTTCCCAAACCAGTGACACTTATTCATACTCATCATAGTAAGAACATAGTAGTCCTGGACACTGGCCAGAAACAAACTCCGCAGGATTCTGCACTGCCTGCCCACATAAACAAGATAAGAAAGTGGGACTCTGTTACAATGCTCAAAGGAGGATGTCCATCCTATCAGAACCATAATCAGACTTGGTCTCTAAAAAACACATCTTGATTCTCAGATGTTAAAGGGTTCTGAGAAGAGGTGTCTCAGAAAGGATGCAGAAGCTGCTGGTTGTATTGAAAGAAGGTATTCAGCAGAATACTCCATGCTTTTTTTGCTGTCCTCTCTGTACGGACTAAAAATTTGAAAGCACAGACTAGCTACAGACGCAGACTGGGCTTTATTTTCTGAGAAAAAATTCCAGAGATCCACAATTTCCATTAAATTCAGAGCAGGTCATGGAGGCTTATAAAAGGTGTTGAAGCAGGACAAGAGTATGGAGAGGAGCAGCTTAATACCAGTATCCTTTAACAAAAATAAAGACAGAGAGGCCTGTCAACTTCTGCTGTTGAGCTGGCACCACACCTTGCAGCAGAAGCCAACTAGCTGGTAGGAAAGAATTAGTGACAGAAAAGCTGGCATTAAATAGAGCAACAGACTTGCAACTTGCTGGATGGCATGGCACAGAAGCAGAAAGAACTGTACCTATCACTCGTGCTCAACCACTAACCTACAGTGTTGACCCAGGCAGATATTTGCAAGCTCTACTTATTCCAAGTCTTCCCAGGCAGAGACCATGAGGAGCTCATTGTTGGTATTTATCATTAGAACCACTGAATTCTGATTCTCTTAACATCAAAATCAGTTTCATCTTCCTCCCACAAAGAAAACACAGCTGTTTGGATGGAAAGACCAGAGATGACAGGACTGCAAGAGTCCTGACACACTACTTTGCTAAAGGTGATAGGCTGGAACAGGACCTAGTTTAGCTTGACAGAACTCTTCAGCACTCTGCAACGATCCAGAGTCAAACATCTGTGGGATAACCACAGAATAGTGAACATATAAACTGTGAAATGTCTTATTCCAGCTGGACAAATTATAGAATCTGAGTCCTTCTCCCTTACCTGAATACAGGTTACTGAAGATGCATCAGCCATGAGATATTGCAGATTTAGTCTGAGAATTACACTACTTGGCAAGGACCCAAGCTGCTTTGAGCCACCTTTATTATATGATGACATAATAAAGATCATGAGACCAAGAGAACAAAAAGCTCTCCTTCCTGTACAAGTTCTTATGGCTGTTGCCAAGGGTCCCGACACAGTTAGCAATAAGACACTTCCTGGCATGGATCAGGCTGCATCAGGAGGTAATCAAATTGGTCAAGGCCGAGAAATGCCCTCAGCCTGTGCAGAGAGGGTATACGAAGTCATGTGAGCTGCAGTGCTGTTAGATAGTTAAGCCACAAAGACGATGCATTAGCCAGATAATAAAGAGAAAAGGCAACAGACATAAAACTAAGGATAGTGTGGCCACTTTGGAGAAGAGAAGTTACTGATTCCTTTTTCTCTCTGGCAGAAGAGGGCGTGATGTGGCAAGGTAAAACCTACAAATGGAGACCTCACGACGAGGTGGAGGGCAAAGGAGAAATCAAATCAAAAGGGAAATCAAGCAAAGATTTGTTTATGGTGGGAAAAGACAACGAACAGCATCAGGCAAGGCTACAGGACTACAAATAGCAGCAACAGTTGAAAAGGACCATGGAACTGAAGGACTGAGAAAGCATACCATGTTGTAAAAGCAGCAGTAGGAAGGGCTAAGAGCTAATGAAGGCTTTTCCAGGGACAGGGGCCAAGAAAATAAACACATAGAAAAACAACAGGGGGTCTAGTTGCCATTGTAAGAGGAAAAGACAAGGAAAACGGAAAAGAAGAAAATCTGTGTGCTGCAGAGACAGCATTTGCTTGTTGGGAGAGTGAAGAAGCAACTCTGTTCTGTACGCTCCAAGAAAGAGAAGGCTCCATCCCACAAAGGCTCTGACACACAACAAGGTGCTGCAAGATCATCTTGCTTCCAACAGAGAGACATGGAAGCAGTCTGTTCCAGACGCTTACTCTGTTTGGTTTAGAGTTGTCCAACAGGAAAGTGGTGGCTACAGTATCTGGGCTAATATCCTACAAGTTGGGATCTGATGGCTCCTCTTCCTACATGTCATTGGCAATGCCAGTAAAACAAACAAATAAATCCTAAACATATGGCCTTTTCTTTCTCCTCTTTCTGTAAGTAGGCAGCAGGATCTCTCCAGTCTTACAGCAGCCAGCAGAAACTGTATAGCCAGCTGGCAGGCAGGCGGCAGTGCATGCCCATGAGAAGCACCAAATGATGGTTGCTCTTCTGCTGGCTACTGTCAGAGACAACCTACGGACAAGCAGACTTAAGCTCTGACTTAAGATAACAGTTGTTGTTCTCATGAAGCTAAAGGATTGAAGCTCTCATTGCCCATCATTGTATCCCTTTTATGGTATTCTCCACAGAAGCAGGATCAGGCACGCATTACATCTCTGGTGACCAGAGCAGTGTTCCCCTGCCTCCCTGCAGAAGCAAATTACACGGTATGAACAAAACCTCATTACATTCAGGCTATTGAACTGCCTTTGAATTTACATCAAGAAGTTATCCCCAGAACAACCCAGCTTTGCTGTACTTCAGTTAAGACTCAATTCCTACCTGAAGCCAAGGATGCTCTAAGGCTTCCTCTGTTGTAAGACGTTTGCTTGGATCCACTACTAACAGCTTCTTCACAAGATCCAGAGCTAAGATAATAAAAAGAATGGTTGGCACATGATCAATAAATTCATTACCTGAAAATAAGTTCTGCAATATGCATACACCAAAGCTATGTGCAACGACGTGTCTTATAACACTTCAGAACAACACCCAAAAATACTGGCTGGGAAGATGACTTTTCTTTTTTCTATGCATAGGGAGGGCTGCAGACTGTAACCATTTTTCCTTCACATGATTCAACACTTTTCACTATACCAAAATTACTAGTAGATATACTGAGCATGTCCACAATTTATGTCCTGACCATGCACAGGAAGTTCAGCACTTTCCTAAAAGATTCATTATTATTGTGGACAAGCAAAGACAGCTTAATTTAGTTTGCTGGTTTACAGTGTCTTGGAAAGCAGATTATCCATATGGGAAGATGGGAAAGAAGAGACAAGACATACACATATATGCTCAACATAATCACATAAAATATGGCATAAATGCCGTATTTTTCATAGTGTCTATTAAGCAGTTTCCTAAGAAAATAAAGTTTATGACTCCAAATCTTCCATAAAGGAATTTTGGCAAGATTTACTTTTCATTGTATCTGATTATTCTGTTATACATACCATTAGGACTATGTACGACCTTAACATAATTTCCATTCTCATATACATCTGACTTACTGAATAAGCTTCAAATAATAAAGGACGAGTTGTATTCAGTAGGTCTATTAGAAAAAGAATGATCACATCATTTATTAGAAACTCCTCTGCACATACAAAGGAGTATCCAAGGCAAATACTACAATTATTTTGTGCATATAAAATGTCCTGAAGAAAAGCATGCAGACAGTAACTATCATTTTAGTTTGCTATGCAAAAACCTAGTTTTGCAGACTACCTAGCTTAGAGTAGGCCAAACTTAATAGTTGATTCCACAAATGTGACTGATATTTTAAGCTCAAAGACTAGTACCATGAAATTACTCTTAACATTTCTCTCCTGGAGTTCTAACTCATATCACTTAAATTCCTGGCATTTTTGCTTCAACACTTGAAGAATCTTTGAGCAAGGCAAAGTTTGTAGACGGGCTTGATAAAGTCACAAGAAAAAGTGAAGAGAGGAAAAATAGACATATGTACCCACGAACTCTATACTTGGGTAGTTAATAAAGCTAAATATTACTAAGAAATCTCTTCAATGAAAATGTATCTGCTCTTTCTAATGCTTCAACTTCGAACTTAAAAAAACAAAACAAAACAAAAACATTTTTAAGAGACTACTTTAAAAACTAAACATATCAACATGCAATGTGCCATACAGCTGAAAGGAAGTTAAAGGAAAACAAAAACTACAAGAAAAGAGCTAGATATTCTGCTGCCCACGGTAACGGAGTCATACCCATGTCTGATACATGCTTCCATTCTTTTGAAATGAACGTGTATTCTCCACGAGTAATTTGATCTTTCAGAGACAGTTGAGTATTTTGCTCATTAAATGGTGGATATCCACACAAGCTATATAAAAGAAAACAAGTTAAATAACAAAGATTTTATCATAGTGAATGAAACACTAAAACCACACATTTTAAAGCACCTGCTATCACAGCATCTTTTACACATACATAGTTTTAAACACACTTTCACTTCCTAATAAAAATACTGAAGTTGACAAGTCTCAAGCCATGTATGTCAATGACTGCCCAACGAAGCAAGCATCTACACAATATCTTACCATACAAAAAGAATAACTCCTAAACTCCAGCAGTCCACAGCTCGGCTGTATCCAGCAGTCCCCAGTGAATTTAGAACCTCAGGAGCAAGATACGTGGGAGTACCACATAAAGTTTTCATAAGAGAAGTTTCTCCAAGAATCTTGGATTGTCCAAAATCTGTAATCTTGTATTTAAAAATGGTAACACCACATTATATATTAGGATTGACTGTACTAGAACATATATTGTCAACATACATCAGGAGGTAACATTAAGTTTCTTCCTTCCAAGTCAGTTCCAGTACCTCACTATGAACAAAATTTACCCCAAACATTATTAAGTTTTCAGTAAACAACAACTGAGAATGGGAGAGGAGGCATACAGAGAAATATGACATAGAATCCCACTTTACACTAGCAAAAAGTACTCTCAGATTTGGATGTAAATGGACAACCACAGAATAAAGGAGTTGTAGCATACTGGAAGAGATTACTTGAAAAATTAGTAGTTTAGCATGCAAATCTATTCGATGCTTTATCTGGGGGGGGGAATGAACCACCCACCCAAAAAAATCCCAACCTTAACCCCCTCCCCAAAAAACCCAACCCTAACAACCACCCTGCCAAAAAATAACCCCAAAACAACAAAAAAACCCTGTCACCATACAGCCTAGATATTTGTGGAAATGCCATCTGTAATTCAATAATTTAGATTTTATTGAAAAAAAAAAAAAAAGGTATCAACATTTGAAGTTGTGTACTAAATTAAGTGCTATACAAACACATCATTTCCCAGTCGTTCTTAGATAAGTACAGCCACAAAAGTAAAATTAAAATTATGAAAAAAAAAAAAAACCTCAATGTTTTAAGTTACTTCATAGTTTGTATGACTAATTCCATAAATTTTTTTTGCTATGTTTAACTAAATATTGAGAAGAATGGGAAGGAATACTCCCAAATTTCTAAATGAACAAGAAGAAATGTAAGTTTCCGTACCTTTATAAGACATGTTTCTTCAGAAGATGAAAGTAGCACGTTCTCTGGCTTTAGATCTCGGTGTATAATTCCATTGTCATGAAGATACTAGATATATACAGATCAAAGAAAAACAGACTATTAACTTATTTTAAATGTAAGCTTTCCAATTTTTCATATAACAATGGCAGGATAACTGAAATGGTTGTGTAAGAGGCATGCATGGATTTAAAGCCACACAGCTTATGACTCTCTTTTCTTATTTAAACAAACAAAAAAAACCCACAAAAAAGACAACCTTAGAAACCATTATCCTTCAAATGTCAAATCTCAATGCAAACAGAGTATGTAGACCTGGCAAGGTGTTCCGTTCTTCCCATTCACTGGAAAGCTATACTTCTTTCTTCATCTCAGTAAAAGCAACAGAACTAAGGAAGAACAAAGTTTTATGTTGCCATTGTAGGAATTCTGCTTTTCCATCTCTCTCTCCTTTCTTTTAGTCATTATTATTGTATGATCATACCCTCTTAAATACAAGTCCATGTTTCAGTTTGCAAAGACAGTTAAGTTGATCATGCCACAACAGTCCTCACACTGGTAAGTAGTAATAGACAGATTTAAAAAACACCTCAGTCGTCAAAGAGCTGGAGGCTGAAAAAGGGTTCAAAAACCTGATGATATAACTAGGAAAACTGAGTAAGGAGGAGATACAAGATCAACGTCAGGTTAAATATACATAGGATTTTGAAAAAAGTTACTTCCTTGAGAGGCAAGTGTAGAATTGTTCCCTTATCTGTAGTTCTGAAGTCTACTATCCTGTTTTCTACGGGCTCGAAACCTGAGAATAAACTTCAGGCTTCATTAGGAGAACATTTGACAGCAAGCATGAATCAAATTTCAGTCATAAAGGACCGATATATTAAGATACAATGAAGTCTGTGTTAAAACTAGGAACAATGTTGATTCCAAGTAGTAGTACAAAATACGTCCTAGAGACGTCCTCACATTTACACTGAAGGGAAGTTTTTCTTTGTTATATCTGAAGACATAGTATCATTAGGAAGTAGGAAGTAATGACGCCACTTTTATTATATGAGCGGCTGTCCCAAAAACAAGAATTGGGGAAAAATACAGTAGTTTACTCACTAATGAGGAAAATAATTCTAGGTTTATTATTTCTTAATACCTACTACAGAACACCTATTAAGTTTCTATTTTCGGCAGTTGCAAGATATTAAAATTGAGTCAAAAGAAGAAAGGAAAAGAATTGATCTGGAAAGGTCCAGGTAATTAAGTTTGATGCAGAAAACAATCTTGCAGAAGTTACTAACAATGAGATATGCTTACCATTTCATGAATTTAGAAGAAATTTATCTAAGGACTCAATATCCAGTATTTGAGATCTATTAAAGTAGTCTTAATCTGTTGTCTGCTGAACTACAATGCTTATTCAGGAGTGCATAGTAAAGCATCTGATCACTAATTTTTTTGAAGGATACTACACTGATGACTCTTTGCCCACACACTACTAAAAGTCTCACACAATAATCCTGCCATCAATGAGCACAGCCTGCATTATTACTTTAGTCCCTGTTTTTAATAAGTGTCTGAATGTTCTTTGGCTGCACTGAGGTAAAAAATCTTGTTAAACCAACTTGTTAAGAGCGCTGTGCTGATTGCTTGCACAGGTTTCAGAAGTGACAAATGACAAAAAAATTCATCTGACTGACGTTCATATGCATAACTATATTTTTCTTGGTAGAATTCATGATTGTGTACCTTTACAGCCAGCAGCATCTGATAAAAATACAACTTGCAGGTAGCTTCTTTCATCTTGATTGGCCTTGACACTCTGTCATACAATTCTCCTCCTTCCATCCTAAAACAAATGCAGGTAACAAGTCAATACATTACTTCCAAAAGATGCATCTCATTAGACAAGACTGAGACCAAAACATTTGGCTATTTTGGCTACAGAGAAGGAATATATTTCTGAAAATGAGTGAGCAATGTCCTAAACACAGCACACACACTGCTGAATTAGGCCTAATCTCCCGAGTCTTCACAGGGAGTTGTTACAAGATTTTTGATCAGCCTCCTCCTATGAGCTCAAATCAAAAAGTAGCAGCAATCCACAACAGCAGCATAGTGGGCAACTATCCAGGCACTAAGTGCCTTCCTTCCAAGCATAAAAGGATTACTCTCCTGGTTATCCTAGTTCCTAATTTTACAGAGGTTTCAGAAAACAGTGGAGGCCAGCAAAAGAAAAACAAAACAGAACAAACAAAACCCCAGAGTGCAGAAGTACACACATTCTTTGTGGCTATGAAAAACATTTCATTTTATGCATTTACTTTCAAACAAGTTACTTACAGTTCCAAAACAATGTAGTAATCCTCTGCTTCAAAGAAGTTTTTGATCTTGATTAAGCAAGGCTAATAAAAAAGGGAACACAAATGGACACACACAAAGTAGAATCATTTGTAAAAACTAACGTTATCAACAGTTTATCATCCTAAGTTTTCTATTTGAGTATGATTTCAACCATGCCAGTTAAACTAACACTTAACACGACTGACTAGCACTCCAGGCTTTGGCAAACACTTAATATTCAAGTCTGTCGCCTTCTTCCCCTGTACCTCCACACAAAAAAACATTCAACTCTTGCGGTGACTACAGCTCAACAAGTACTCTTATTTGTTCCAGTTGTGAGTTACCACACACTCAATATTTTCTTTTATGTAATAGTACATTGGGAGGCAAGGGAAAGTTCATTAAGCTATGCAGACTTTCTACTAACAAAAGTAAAAGAAATGCCTTTTGCTGGGAAGGGGACTGGGGGGGATGCAGGGGAAAGAGGGGATACAAATTCAAAAAATTGCCAGTAAAATCTGATCTTTATATTTGGTTATCTGGCAGTATTTACAAATACACGCATCAAGGGAAGATTTTTACAACACTGGTTCAGGTTGAAACTTCTCCTGCAAAGTTTCTTCTCCAAATTTATCTCTCAGTTATTCAAGGTTTTAAAACCTCAAATCTGTAAAGACATAGTATACTTAAAAGAAAACCCAAGTGTTCAATAGACTTATTTGTAAGAAAAATTACATGCATCCTTTAATACTGTTATTTTCTAAACAGATAAAATTGATCTTTAGTTACTACACTAAGGTCAGTGAACTACAGAAGTACAGTAGGCAGCAAAAAGGAAAAAAATGTACAGTAACACTCACATGATCTATTTTCTTCAAAATTTCAATTTCTGTATTGATATTAAAAGCTGGGTTCTATTAAAAGAATCAAATACCATATTGGGTAAGACAGTGCTGTTCTGGAATAAGACACAACAGAAATAAGAGACAGTACCAAAAAAGCCATTGTTTCATGTCCCTTGCTACTTTAAGTGACCATAACACATAATCTTTTTCCATAAACTGATGAGGTGCCTTCAGTGAATTAAATGAACAGTCTGCTCTCACTATCTGTAGTAAGATACTGCTCCAGACATGTCATTTTACTGCAGATTAGAAATCCCCACCTAATTTCCAAACTACAAAAAAAAAAATCTTGGCAAGTATATATTGGTATTGTCCTTTAAACAGCTCTCCTCCCTCCATGATGATTTCCATATGGGCTAATGCTAAAATTAAACGCTACTCTTTCCTAGCCTTTATTTTGCAAGATAACATAAACAGATTCTTTTAATCTGTGGCTTAGGCTCAACTCATGAAATCAACCCAGCAGGATTTTTTTGCTCTTCTTCCAATCCAAATCAATCATCTTTGAACACACAGAATCAAATCCATATACAACATTCCAGATGCAGTCCTATCTCTTTTGGTTTTGTCCATTGTTTTGTACAATGGCATTTTTAATAATTATAATTCATAACAATATTTCTTAATCTTTATTAATGTTCCAAAATTGCATTTTACAATTTTCAATCACATTGAGGTCACATATTCATCTGCAAATAACTATATCTATGTCCTTCTCTGAACTAGGAAAAGTGTAGACTATAGCAGAAATTGTTGCTGATGTTGAAATATATGACCTTGCACTATTAAACATTATCTAACTTCTATTCCTCCAGCATACAAAAGTATCAGTTCTTCATACATGATACTGCAATCTTCCTTTCCCATCAACAGAGACTTTGGGTCAGTGCCAAAGAGTTAAATTAGTATATTCCCCCATTTTGTGCCATGATCTCTAAATGCAGTAGTACAGAAGATTAATCTCAAGACAAATTCTCAAAAGTTCCACTAGCAACTAATACTGCTCCCACTGAAGCCTCCTGGCATCCTTTCCTCAGCCGGCTAGCTTTCCACCTCAATTTTTGTCTTTACAAAAATATTTTCCAGATCAAGTAGTAGTTTCTTATACAGTACCTGATTAAATACTTCATCAGTTTGAACAGATTCTGTATATTTTATCTGTGCTCTGAACTCCATTTTCTCCTCAAAGAAATTAATAAGGTTGATCCAACTTGATTTAACTTTAGTGAATCCACAGCAGCACAACTTACATAACTCCTTCTTCCATGCACTTTTGTCTCTAACTATATTTTTCTTCAAAGTTTGCCCTATAGCCTTATATAAAATTAGAGTAATAGATAGGAAGTTGCTTGGATCTCTTTCTCACGTTGGAGTAAAGCCACTTGGCTTGTTCTTCTACTTCAAATTCAGGCTTCTGCTACAAGACTAGACACATGAAAAGCCCTTCCCAAAAGGCTTAATACAATTTTATTAAAAAGTATTACGATGGAGAATACAACAAAATTAGCGGAGTTTGTAAATTTTTGGTCAGACTCCACTGGTTACGATGTGCCTATGTGGTGCATTTTAGGAGATAAATCCCACAAGACTCCCCACCACCCTTTGTATATACCACATTAACACACAGTCCTAAATGATGAACATAATGAAATGTGGTCAAAGAATAAAAGCAAGCATTTTCTACAGAATGCTATAGATTCTGTAAGATCAAAAGGCATTTTGAAATTACATACAGAAGACATTAAGTGAGAACATCCTCTTTAGTTGAAGAGAGCTGGGGAGTCAGAGAGGTTACCAAATATTCCAGGACCACTGCAAGATGGCCAAAAGACAGACAAACAAGCAAGTAAAAATACTTACTGCCTCTCTAATACCACTTGCCATAAACTTCCGTTTATTGATTATCTTTACTGCAACTTTGTTACAAGTGCTCTTCTCGAATGCCAGTTTGACTTCTCCACAGGCACCACTAACATAAAAGCACAGCTCTGTTAATGCTTACAAATACTTTTCAAAAATCTGCATAACAAGTAAAGACAAATGAAATGAAAGCATTGGATTACACACAATTGGAGGCTGCTGCTTTCTAACTTGCTGAATACGCCATGTTGTCCGAACTTTCTCAGAAAGCACTCAATAGTTAGGAAGTCTATTTAAATAGCAAGTCATGTCAAGGGCCACCCATTCAAAAATGCAGGAGTAAATATGTAGAGTGACTAATCTGTTTGTAGAAATGTTACCCGTGAATATCAAGGACAAGCTCTGTCAGCATTTCCATCACATAAATGCCTTTAAGAAAAGAGAACCTAGTGAAGAGTTCTCTCAACACTGGACTGCACAAATCTGAAGAACAGGTATGACAACACTTTTATTTTTACTAATACTTTATATTACAGAAAGAAATCCTTGTATTTTGCACTCAGATTTGTTTCCACTCAACCATTCTCCTCCAAATGCTTCACTGACCATCTTTTTCCAAAAGACAAAAAAAAAAAATAGCCTCCACTTAAGATAGCCTCTCCCCTTTTTCCTGAAAACAGTTCTTTCCCCTTCTGCCTGAAGGTCTCAACAGTGATGCTGTAGAAAGCTATATTCTGACATAAAGCTCTTCCTTCTACTTCCAATAATTGAGTAAATTAATATACAAGATTTAAAAATTTGTTAAGAATATACAGATTTTTCTCTTCTAGAGAAAAAAACCCTAGGTTTCACAATTAACGGTAGGTTACATAACCCAAGCCAGTTACAGTAATAAAGCCAAAATTCCTGTTTAAGTTGTTGTGAAGAACAGGTTTAATCAGGTGTCATCATTCCTTTTTTTCTTTTTTCTGTTTTTTTTTTTTTGTTTTTTGTTGGTTGTTTTAAACAGCAGCTCAGTTAACACTGGTAATAATTCCAGCACAAGGTACTGAAAACAGTAACAAAATTAACGCTTAATACTGTGGAAAGAAGGATGCTTACCTTCCCAAAGTCTTTGACATGATATATTTCTCTCTGAATTCTCTAGGAAACACCAACTGATCATCCACCATAAGATCAGAAAATACGAACACTGGGAAGATGAGTGGAGATCGTTTTCTTGTTATTAACTTTAAAATTTTGTTACAATGAACAACTATGCTTCCTGAGATTTTATAGTCAACACCACAACTAAGAAAATGCTGCCTGCTAGAAGAAAAGCATAAATATATAAAAAAGTTAATTGATGCTATAAATGGCATCAGCTATGGGTTAGCAAGGTGATCTTATTACTGAAAACTGACATCTTTGGGATTAACTTCACAACAGTGCTTGATCAGTGAACACTACATTTAAGGACAAAATAGGCAAGATTTCCATGTCACAGCAGGGAACAAAGAGAAGTGACAATCAGGAAGACAGCATCTTAGCAGAAAAGCAAAGACAAAGAAACAAACCCCCAACTCTGCTAATTTTTAAGAGGGTTTTTTAATTATTATGAAGCATCTGGTAAGTACCTGGGTTTTTTTAGACTGTTTCCACTGTTCCCACCACCACATACACAGCTGCTGAAGCACAAAAGTGTTTCAAAGACCAGGAAAATAACTACAGAAGTTTATGCTCTAGTAAGGTGGTTCCTGATGCAGCTTCTTTTAAATTTTCTTTTTTTCATTTTTTTTTCTAGGGTTGAGGTGGATACGGATTTTTATGCGAGTAGTAAAACAACAATTCATGGCTGTATTTTAACAGCACTCACAAAAAAGCTCAGCTTGCAAGAAACATATTCAAATCACCGCAGAAAAGACCCCTTAGCCAACACATGAAGAACCTACTTATGTTACAGTACATTTTACCCTTATTAGTCTGTATAGACAGCGCAATTTCAGAGTTGTGAGTCAGCGGAAGCCTCTTCCCTTTTCCAACAAGCTCTCTATTAACAAAGGTTCCATTTGCACTGTGGTCTTCAATGTAGGCAACATAGGAATTTTTTGGACCCATTTCCTCAAAGAGAAAAAAGAATGGGAAAGATAACAGTAGGGAAAAGTTGACTTTACAGTAAAGACATGACGGACTACAGAAATTTACTATTGTTGGCTCAGGAAAACAGACTACTGAGGTTATTTCATAAACCGGGTAAACGGAGCATGAACAAGAGTCTTGTTAAAAGAGTCAACACTGAAGGTACTTAAACTTTGATTTCTTTAGGATCCAACCCCACCAAAGTCAATCTTTCTCAATTATGCCAAGACAGAAAAAGACAGTTAGCCTTTTTAGCACCTACCCTGAAAATTCGGAAATGCTTCTTGCTATAGTTTTGGTAGAAGCCAGTCTCAGACAACCCTAGCTTAGAAAAACTATAATCACAGCTTTTGTCTCTTCCAAACCAGTATTCATCATTCACGCAGTCTGTAAAGGAGAGGGAAGTAAAGCAGAGAAAGAACACAAAATTGCAGGAAGTTATTAACTATGGCACTACAGAATGATGCTAAATGGTAGTGAGTGGGATAACAAAGACAGGATTCTTCCTATACAAGCAAGTTTATTTGTCTTAATTCAGACAAAGCACCATGCACTATCAATGCCTTGCACGATATTTTAATCATTTACCCTCTTTAATAATAGTAGAGTTTTCAGTTCACCTTCAACAATACAGAGAGACTCTCATGATATATAAACAAAATCAATTATGAAATGGAAAAATGAAGCAAGTAACAAAGAACAGGAATACCCCAGAATTCCTCTAAGTCTACGGAAGCTGTGTATCTGGGTACTCAGTATGAACACTGGGATGTAGGACAGAATAGAGCATTATTGCAAAAGTTGCAAGCTAGTGCTTACATTTGTTTGTCCTTAATTTGAAAATGAAAAGACACAGCTCTCTGCCAAGCTGCTCAAAACTTTTCTGAGGTACTACAAATGAACTAAGAGGCTTATTCCAGTATGCACATACCACAGTTGCTGAAACCTTTTCCAAGTGCAAAGAGTCGACCCCAAGGCTGAGGAACAAGCTCTTCAGATTCTTGGTCCTCAGGGATCGACGGAAGCTCCTGAGTGGGAACAGTGTCCAAAGAACTGAGGGTCCCAGAACTTGAGGAAGACTGACTAGTGCTCTGTGACCCACTGGAAGAGGAACTGGTACCACTCTGTGACTGTTGGGCACCTTGAGACTGCTGCACTTCACTTCCAGTCTCTCGAGACATGTTGGCTTCAAAGAGAATGTTTAAAAAAAACAGTTATTACAGCAAAGTAAAACTGACAAACATTCACACACCGTACTATTAATATCCAAGTCTATTCTCAGTCTTCAAATAAATAAAACTTTCAACCAAAGTGTGCATGTGTGGATTATATGTAAATCCCCAAGAATTTTGCAAATCATGATGTTTTTCCTTTTAAAAAAAGAATGTGGTGCTCCCTCTACTGGTTCTAAACCCACAGTAAAATCTTATTCCCAGATTTTAACTTCAGCTCTTCAGGGCTCACACTTTATTTCACAAATGCACGTGCAGCACTCTCTGACAAAGCATCCCCACACAAAGCAGGAACCGCTGCAGCTCCCCAAACACAAAGGGAAAAACTGAAAAAGGAAAAACAAGAACTATAAAGTGAAGTACATTTTCTTGACACTGAGAGTGCCCGACAGATTTATCACACAGCAAGCCAATTTGGCATTTTGGCTGAAAATTCCTTTAATATAGGTTATAACTCACAAATTTTCACATCTCTTCCACACAGGTTCTACTCAGCAATTTTATTTACAAAGTAGCCACACCTATGCATAACAAACGCACAAAACTCTGCCAGCCTCAAAGATACACACGGCAGCCCTAGCAGCTGCTATTGAAGACAGCAGCAAGAAAAGGCAACAAACTGCACCTACCTGCCCTGTGAAGACGGGGGAATTTACAGCTTTCCTCCCCAGTTAAGAAAAGCTGTCTTAAGAAAAAGCTGTCTTTAGCTGTCTTTCTCCAACAGCATCTGTATTCATTGTGCCAAGGGGCTACTCTAATGTCCGTGCGCCTTCCCAGGGTCGCTGCCATCCTTTGGGGTCACCTGGACTTACCTGCCTGCTTGCTGCCTTGGCTTGCTGGTGTACCTTGCTTTTTAAGCTGGTTGTCATCCAGCTCAACGTATGCCCCAGACTAACTTAAATCTCCTCACCAGTTTGCTACATTTCCTTATCAGCCATAAAACCACAACCGTGCCCTAGTTACTTCTGTGTCGCTTTTTTACAGAGGTGTTCAGAAACGGCCCGCAAGCTCCAGCCGCCGCAGCCCCGCAGCGCTGGGGCGCAGCCGCCCGCGGAGGGGAGGCGGCCCCCGGGCGGGCCC